TCGCTCGTCGAGTATCGTACCTGATGTTGCTATAAACACATCATTACATCAATATCTATATTATATAGATTATCCGCTATCGACAGACAGTTCCGACGGTATAATACAATGCTATTGTGATAACACAGTTATTGTAATGTAGGAATGCAAACAAATTATTGGTTTTAAATTTTAAATTCCTATTGCCGATGTTATATTTTATTCGTCAAAACTCGAAATAATTATATTATTGTTAACACGTGGACACTATACGCATAAACTATATTTTAAAAAGTGTGCGTATAGTCTATAGTCCACAGTATATTTATAAATATTACTTATATTGCATGTATTGCAACGTCCAGTGCAATAAAGAATCTAATATAATAAACGAAAAGACCTTTCTTTTTGTCTACCAGGTATTGAAAAGCTCAAAGATTTCAATTCGAATGTTCGACACTTATATTAGTGTACCTACCAAATTAGTGTATATGACAATAGTAAAGAATTAATAAATAATTTAACAAAATGCTTTAATCTGTTTGATAGGTATATATAGCCGTATAGGTTAGGTATAGATGACTATACATAATATTATAAATACCTTTTCCATATAATAGTTTTACTTATATAGGTAAATAATTAAAACAATATGATTTAAAGTAATAATAATAATTTTAATACAACTGCAGTATAGATTGGGTATAGACGTATAGTCGTATAGATCGAGTATAGGATATTGATCATACGTAGATAGTTTAGCCCATATAATATTATGGTCCAGAACTTTTTTCAAAAAAAAAAAAGATAAATTTTAGTTAAAGTGAACAGCGGAGAAAAATTTTTAGTTTTAATTGACACACAAAAAAATTTTTAAAAGACTAAAATTCTTTCATATTTCATAAATATTGAACACTCGTTAGTTTGTAACATTGATTTTTTAAAATATATTTGTATATTATAAAATCAATGGTTTGTAATAATATTCACTTCCTAATTTTAACTTTTACCACAAAGTTACATACACAAAAAAAAAAATCATAATTTAAAAAAAAAATAATATGTATATTTATTACTGATAAAAGTTAAAATTGAATATATTTATAATATATATACCTATTTACCTTTAAAAAATATTATATTGTTTTAATATAGTAGGCGATGATAAAAAATATCTTATACCTATATTTTTTTTAATTATTGAATTTTTCGTGTTATTTGTTTTATTATATTTTTAAAAGAGAGTAAAATTCTAAGAAATTTTTAGTTATGAACTATATCAAGAAAAATGAGAGATTTATATTGTGAAAAACAAAATCAGAGAGTTTATATATATGTATTTATTCATGGTATTTTAGTATTTATATTTTCCAAGAAAAAAAATATTTGCTTTAATATAATATAATTCAAGTTAATTATTACAAAGCTGTAGGTAAGAAAAAATTATTCTTAACGACGTTAAGATTATATTTTTAATATTATTATTTAGGGCAGTAAAACGATTTTCAAACTATTTTTCATTCTGCAGAGCAGACATAAAAAAGGTTCTCTTGGATGGTAAAATATACATTAATAAATAATATAGCACTCAATTATACAAGCCTACAATCTAAAGAATTAGGCTATATATAATAGGTTTATTACCTGCATCGTATTTAATATAATGGTCTACATAGTATACCTACGTGAACGAGTACGAAAAAAGGATTTATATTATTGTTAATGTTGCGCCTATTATGAGAAACGGAATAATAATTATTATGACAGACGAAAAAAAGTTTTCGTTAGACGAATAAATCGCCTTTAAAACGGTTGGCTGCTGCATCGGCGCAGGCGCAGTCGCCTATTAACGAGTTTAAAACGGCATTTTTTTAAATGTCGGCGTGGCTTATTATTCGCGGAAAAGTCGTCGCCGAGACGCGTTTTGTTGTATAATAATATTGTATATAACACATGGGGACGGCGCGTGGAGGAAGGTACACTGCTGCAGTGCCGGCGCGGTGGAGGATGAGTCGAGATCGGCCGGAGACTTTAGACTGGGCGACGCGGGCGGGACGAGAACGCGGCGGCCGCTTCGTAGTCGGGTGGTACGCCGCTGCCTCCGCCGCCGCCGCCGCGGCAGAGGGACGTTTAGACGGAATGTAGGTTAACGCGCGCCCGCAGTCCGCAGCGCCCTGCTCGGTTTGGCGGTGTCGGTGTCGGTGTCGTCGTCGGTCAGACGGTGCGGTGTGCTTTGCGGAGAGCCAATGGGGTGTGCCGCAAGCCAGTGGAACCAACCCACCGTGGGTGACGTCACCGCCACCGCCGACACCGCAGTCGATTCCCCGGCCCGCGTCTCGCCGCACCGCCACGGCCGGAAGCGGCGGCGGCAGCTTTCTCGACGGTTTTCTCGACGGTTTTCTTTTCGCCTCTCTTTCGCCGTCTATACATTATACGAAAGCGCGCCCTCTCTCGCTCGCTCCGTCACTCGTTCTTCCTCGCACTCACGCTCTACATTTATCTCGCTCACTCACTCTCTCACGGTATCTCTGTTTCTCGGTATCTCGCTCGCTCCGCTTTAGCGCAATCGTCCGCTCTTCTTCGCACTCATTCGCCGGTTCCACGCCGAGTCGGACGTATATATTGTAGCGAGTGAATCAACTACGGTGCACTATATATTAAAATACGCACAGCGTTCGCCACACGCACCTCAACAATCTGGAAATCTTGTCGACTATAACATAATATTATTATTAAGTATATATGTATAATATATATGACACTATCGAAATTCTATACAATTTCTAGATTCTACATTATACACGTCACAATCGTTCAGAGACCTAATATAAATTATTTAGATGATTCCGTTAACTGTTATATAGAAACGAAATTCAAGGGTATGGGGGCAAATTTCGAAAAATGTTTTGAATCTAAATTTTAGATAGTGCGTACATCCGGTAAAAGACAAAAGTTTAAAATATGAAATGTATTTATATTATGTTGTCCGTGATACGCGATTCACATATTATTAAGTCTATTGTATACATTTACAGGTTGCATATATTACTATAAAGGTGCGAGAGGAAAGGAAGATTACGGGTGACGGTGATGACGTGTGGTCGACGGCGGCGGCGGAGGCTTGTTATAGCGTTTTAAAATTAAAAGCTGTTTGAGTGGATGTAATTAGTGCGAACGGGCGCGCGGCGATACACATATATATATATATTATATAACATATTATATAGTAACGCTGAACTACTGATGGCGGGGGTGACTGTGTATATATATATATATATACATATAAATACTGCGCGCTGACGGCTTAACACAAAAGGTGCACCGCTGTCAACATAATAAAGGGTTTTGCAACCCTCCCCCTCCCCTTCAACCACTCTCTCCTTAACCCTATCGGTACAGTGTACATGTATATACTATATATATATATACATATATATACGGTGCGCGGCAGTAGTCCGGATGGGGGCCCTTTTATGTGTTGACGCTTGTAAAAGTTAAACTGCCACCGCCCACCGTCGCGCTCGCGTAAATATCACCTTCTTGCAGCACGCGCTGTTCCTCCGGCCGTGTCTTGGCGCTGATCTACCCTCCGCGCGACCTTTTAATAATAAGTGCCTGCCAACCCTTTTCGTAACTGATAACGTCGTCGTCGTCGTAGTCGGCGGCTGCGAAATTAAATTAACCCTTTGGAAACACCTCAAAGGTCACGCGGCGGAAATTCGCGCGAGCGCCACCGGAGAAACACACAAAAGGTTTTATAATTATCATCATTAATAATAATTGTAACAATATATTTTATAATAATCAAGTGTACCTACCAGAGTCGAACTATTGAAATAAGCAAAATTATATCATACTATGATTTCACGTACGAGCATGAACGCCGTGCTTAGTGCGTTATTTTGGTAATATCTACATATCATACAGAAATATTATGTTATCGCCAGTGGTTAGGTTAGACGAGTCCAATCATTGTAAAAGAGCCCGGGAATTTAGGTTTCAAGTAACTACAGTACCAGTTGTTAAGAATTTTTATTTTTACTTTATATAAGGTTAATTCCTTAACAATTTTACATCACTTGTTATACCTACTTAATAACATTTTGATGAAAACAAATGACATTTCGTAAATATTAAGTAGGTATGATAAAATAATATTTTGACTGCATACTATTGTTACATCCCAAAGATAACCACGAAAAAAGGTCATCTAATTCGAGTTGTGGACCAACATTTTTCTTTACCTGCGTTATATTTGATTTTAGCTTGATTATTATGTACCATAATTTTCAGATGTGTCTATCATACATTAACATTCATACCTACAACCTACCTATTATATTATATGATATTACAGTTGCGGTTTAGTAATAATAATTTTAGTTTATAATTTATAAGGTATAAGCTTATAACATATTATTCTATAAATGCTTTATATTGTTTGCCATTTTAAGAAATTTAAATTTAATATTATCGTTGACTATTTAATAATAAAAGTTACAAATTAAAAAAACAATTAAATTTATAAAAAAAATAATATATATTTTACAAGTTTTTACCACTGCCATCATAATATAAATATTTTAAAAAAAGTGAGCATAATTTAATATAAAAATAGCAATACAACATTTCAAACCTGCCTGTAATATGATGCTATAGATAACCCGTGTGGAAATGAGAAGGAAAATTAAGTTCATAATAAATAATATTAAATATGTTAAATACAGCATGAGTGTTAAAATAAAATAAAATAACCCGATGATATTAATATAATATCATACATTACTTAAATAATTACCCAAAAATTATAATATCACTAAATTATTTAAAGCTCGTAAACGTTTAACTATATTATTAAATTGTGTTCCACGGAATCGTTATTATTTTGTATTACAGTACCTAATAATTATAATTTTATGAATACATTTAGTTATTATATTCAACAAGTGTATATTATGCAATATAGGTACATTTACCGCTATTCAAACAGTGTGTGAATGATATGGGTTTTTCTTTCGCAGGTCTTGCCCACTCTTGGGGCACATCGTTTTCCAGAGCTTTACCGTCGACCGCATACCCCCCTTATTTGGCTAACAACTGCGGTCCGCCGACTTTTCAACACTCGAACTTCACCAACATTTTTCCGTACAACGGAACGACCACTGAAGTGATTCAACATCAGACGATTAACACTGGCACAGGTAATTTAACATTTATTTTAATATGTGGGTATAATTGTGTAAACTGTTTATATATTTCAGTAAGTACCTAATAACATATTATTACATTGTTTTCTAATATCCTATCATAATATAGTAATTGTGTGTTACGAAATAAATCAAGACGGTAGATGATCTACACATCATATCTGACCGAAAATTATGATTTCTAAATTTGTGTCTAAATGGCGTACAAACATAATGACATGCGTTCATATTATAAAATATAAGATAATACAAACTCTGTTCACTGTCTGTTGTACATTTTCTTTTTTTTTAACGTATACGCGCCCAGCAATATAGACTAAGGACTAAGACAAAACTATATTAAAGGAAGTTATATTATTATACACTCAAGACAATAAACTACGTTTTAAAAAAATGTGTACTTATATAAACTATTTTTACCACATTATTTATAAATAAATAATTTGTGGTTGAACGTTATTCTGTCATAACAAATGAATCTACGTTTGTATACGACGCGTCCTAAAATTATAAAACATATGCATTGTAAAAATGTCCTTCAAAATGCTTTCTCAAATAATTTAATACTTATTTTGGTGCTCTTTTAAAATATTAAACATATAAATATTATTATGTAATATAATAATTAAATACCTGCAAATTTATAAAACAATACATGACCTATGTACCTAATATATATTATGACGCCTACATAAGCCTGCATCTGAAAATAATCATAGAGAACAGAATTTACTTTGAGTACTTACTGCACGTCATAATGTCAGTTTAGTAATTTTTTTCTACTTTCTAGCATCTATATTATATGCATGCATTTATGTATGTAATATTATACCATTGTAGAGAGTGTCTAAATGTCTGCGACAATTTCGGGTGTTCCAGCCTAGAACGAATGAGATGAGCGAATAGCGACGACGTTACGCGTACACGCTTATTTCCTGAAATGAAACGAAATCAATTTCTTTGACGTTTGGTCGTCTGTTTCGTTTTGAAATAAAAAGGTATAACCCAATCAGACATTTTCTATAATTTTTTTCTTCTTACGAGATGACACTAAGTGCCACCCCTCCCCCGCGCCACCCCGGAATCACGTTAAGGCGATTTCCGGAAATGAGATCGACTCTCCTCTGAGCAAGTAAATTGTAACAATTGAAACAGTCAGTCGGGTTCACCAGTGAATCTCAGCAGAACGGTTGTCATTCTGTATAGTGTGTTATAATTTATATGGTACTTAACATTTATAATGAAGTTAAATATCGATTTGTTTAAGATAGGTTGGGATCAAACACATACAATTTTTTTTTTAGAGTTAACGGTTTTTTCGGTTTACCGATTTTCGCTCGAATACCGCTGAAATAGTACACCGTAACGTAATAGAATACCGGAAAACCGTAATACCATGGTACCGAGGGATGATGGTTTTTTTGCTACACCGGTTTTTGCTGAAATGAATATTATTAGTAAAATAAATAAATATCGCTTGAAGTGGCGATAAGGAGGCTTCACACTGATACGTGATAACGCGAATCGTGATTTTAAACCGTAATACGGTTTTTTGGTATCACGGTGTTCTGGCATGTGTTGGTTTTCCGGTATATACCGGTATTGTGGTATACCGTTTCATACTACCTTTCATACCTACCTACTAAGTAACAACTAATTGCAATGTAAAATATTTTAAAGGTATAATATACGGCTATCTAACGGTTTATCTTTTGTAGCACTCCCAAGATTTGAACTCTAGTTGCGCCACTGAATTGCATGGATAAGATTCTATATTATTATTATTTTTTTTATTTTGCCCTTAGATATAATAAGGTAGGTTGGAACCATAAATTAGTTATTACTTATTAGGTAATATACAATATTACAAATAACCAAACATATAATTAATATTATATGTTCAATAATAAACTACGCAACAGAAATCTATAAATGTGCAGTTTAATATGTATATATTGTATAGGCATATATGATATATGGTTATATTTGGCCTATGGTTCGTTCCAACTATTTGACAAAAATCATGTAATTTCAACTTACCTAGATACAAACATTTTTACTCCATCCGAACACGTTAGCCTACAAGAGATTTATCGTAATATTGTAATATGATAGAAAATAAACTGTTTTTTCGCAGATGGCAATAACAGCAGCAGCAGGACCGCGACGGAACCGTTGGGACCGATCAGCGTCAACGTGAGCGTGGATAGCGCGACGACCAGAAGCCACAGGACCGGGGTCCGGGGTCACAGGGGCTTATTGACCACGGTGTCTGGGAGCGGAGCGCACAAGCGGCATCACCATCATCACCACCATCACCACAAGCGACATCGGGACAACCGGTCCGAGAAGAATGCAGCGGTGGCGGTTGCCGCGGACCGTTTATCACCGACGGCCATTGCGGCGTCGGCAGCCACAGCTATAACTCACAACGACAACAACAACAACAACGGAGGTAGCGGTGCCGACGAACACGACAAGAGTAAACGACGTGCGACCGACGATGACCATCGCGTTCGGCGCGCGGCCAGGACGCCTCCATCGCCGCCGCCGCCTCCGTCAACTCTACGACCGCCTCCGCCCGCACAGCCCGTGGCTCAGCTACCGCCGCATATTATGGCCGCGGCCGCAGCCACCGTGTCGCCGCGATCGCTCCACCCGTCCGCGTCCGCGCCCGCGCCGCCAGTCACGCAACCTGTTCCGCTCGTGGCGCCATCGCTGTTCAGCCTGTTCCTGAACGCACCACTCCTGCAACCTCACACGCAGTGGCTGTACTCTCAGCTGTACCCCAATCCGTATCTGAGCCACATACGTAACACGATGATATTCGACAACGAGTCGACGGCCGCTGCCGTGGCCGCGGCCGCGGCGCAGAAGGCCGCAGGCGGTACCATCGGTGGCGTCGTCGACGACGGCGACGGGTCGGCTGCCGAGAACGAATCTCCCAAAAAGTCACCCGCTGACGATGTAGAAGCGGAGGTCGGCGGTGGCGGTGCGGACGACGAAGATGACCGCGACGGAGCAGACACTTCGCCGGCAGTCTCACCAAAGACCACCGCCAAACAGACGGATGTCTGGCGGCCGTATTGATACGTCCAGTCTGGCCCCTTAGTGATATCAATGACGACGACGACGATGATTATGTACATTGTGATGCTGAAGTATGTTTAACAGGAATAAATTTGAATTTGTATTTTGTACAACTGCACCACTCGAGGCGGGTGTCTTCAGTATATACGAGTACTGTTTTTAAAATAATAATTACACGTAATATTTATGTTATATCTCATTAATGATAATATGGCGTTGTCCCCACATACTATCATTCGTACACCACCCATCCATATTAAATACCCACCTTTATTTTGAGGACCTCCGAGGCCACCCATTCGCTTCTGAGTCCTGGGATATAGTTTCAACGCTACTATGCAATGTACTCGTACTAGTATGTAACAGTCCTATTGGCGAACATCGATACCTGGATTTTGGGTTGAGTTGAGGTTTTTTCGGAATTCATTCATTATTATACCACCTAAGCTACACCGTAATCGTGTTTATTATTAAGTTTTTTTTTTCGTTAGCTCTTTTGTGATATTATAGACTTGCGCAGGTCGACTGGTGAACGTATTTAGGAAAAAAAGATAATTGTTATACATGATTATTCAATCACCATTATATTAATATGTATAGGTAATCGTGCACGCATCGCCGTCTCCGAGCAAACTATCACCACAGTCACCACCGCTACTACCTTATGCTGTTTAAGTACCTAACCTATAACCGTATTCCCGACATAGCCACGACGAGTCAATTACTACCATTTGATGTAATTATATATTATATGTTGGGCCACCCTATTATTATAGACTTTAGGTGTTATAAAATAAATCATAATATACCTATTGTGTAAAAAAATATAATGTTAAATATTGTATGTTTGTATAGGTACAATAACCTGCTCCTGTACCTGCGCATCCATTGTAACCTGGTAGTAGGTCATGATAATGTTCCACTTACTACCGTTTTATTATTGTTTACTTTTTTTTGTCAACTGTGTTTTTTAAGTTTCAGTCTTAAGTGTACGATATTATTATAAATTATTATTATACGAATAAAGAAAACAATTATTTGGTTGTTAACAAAATGTAATTGATTTTTGCTATTTCCATTTTATTTATTTCATTCTGCAGCTCTCAACAATGATGGATAAGGGTAGAATAGATACTTGGAAGCTGAAGCACCCATCGTTCCTCACTTTAAACGTTATTTGTTTATAGATTAAGTACTTATTAGATATCAGTTATCGCCCAGTTTTAAACGTATTAATTATAGGTACATCTTACAGAAAAATGATCTTTTTTAAGAAATGGGTTGATTTTTAATATTTAATTATATTTATTGATTTTTTTTATAGCTAAGTAGTTCGGTATAGGTACTTATACATTATAATATAGTACCAGTGTAAAGGTACTTATATACATTATAATATTAGGTATCTATTATTGGGGACAATTATTAATAATGTGATCTATGTGGATTACCTTATTCTAAACGAGATGAAGTAGATGTATTCAAATACTTCTCATCTCCGTTAATAGTACAACGTATATCATATACGTAATGCATTGTTATGCACAATGTAGGGTAGTAAGGTTTATCGAATACTGTCAATTTCATCGAATGTATGACGGCAACACAATAATATAATGATACCTACCTATGTTCATCTTGATATTATAAGTATCAATTTCGCTATAGTGTGTCCGATGAGGATATACTCTATACATATAAATATACAATTTGGTTCATAGTGCATCTGATCCCAATCATTGTCAGCATGTTGAATTTTGATGGTTAGGTAAATAAATTATGTTTGAGTAGATTAGTATGTCCGTCGAACGGGCACGAGTACTGATAATAACCCCACAACGCACTGCGTAAATAAACATATTATTATGTTTTAGGTTAACAAATATTTGTTTGGATTAAATTATATTATAGGTGTGTAAGTTTAACCTACCCTAACTCTAAGTACATAGGTACTATATTATTAACTACGGGCCCCACGAACTACCTGATGTAATTATATAAGTTGAAATAATTGAATAATATAATTTGGTCTAAACCATTAAATAAATTGATCTAAATAAGTTCTTTCTTTACGAATTGTCAATGAACAATAAGTTATTGTAATATTTATTATTTCGAGAATCGAAATACTTTTTTTGAAAGGTTAAATCATAAGCATAATATGTAGCCTATACAAAACTCCTCAAATGTTGCAACATTGTGTCCGGCCGAATATTATATTTTATGTAAACGTCGATTAGTATGACTAAGACGATGTATGCTTAATTTTCCATTTTTAGGCTGCAGTCGCTTCCGATAAGCTATAGATACTTGATAATCAGTCAGTTTTCAGTACGTTTAGATCAGTGTTTTCCAACATAGGTATGGGTTACAAAATATTGATGAGTTGCTGTTGTAAACTGTAATAGCAATAAGAAAATAAAACTATTAATTTTAATTTAAACAAGTTAAGAAAGCTCACTCTGTGAGCAAGCTAAATTTCCTGTTCCTCTACGTATTTTAACACAAAGCAATAAACTGTTATTCAAAATATTTAATTTCAAAAAAATATGGTAGCCTTTATATTTTTATACCTGATGAATCCATATTAAATATTAATATTTTGATATTTCTGAATACTGGCTAGTATATGAATTCACTTTAAATAGACCTGTGTAAGAAAAGTAAGAAAAAGCAATCGTACCTACCAGACATTAAATTAATGTTTTAATATCAACAATCATAACCTGGTAACTTATGGACGAGCGGGTTAATGAGGTGATATATAAGGTGTTTTAAACTTAGGTTTACAAACATAAAACAATATTAATAATTATATTTAACAGTTTTGTGTATTTGTTATCCAGTATTGAAGTAGGGAGGAATATTCTGGAATTTTTTTTTGTCAGTGAGTTGCTTACCCAAAAAAAGTAAAATTGTTGGTCACCATAACAAAAAGGTTGGGAAACACTGGTATAGTGTTAATACTCAAAGGAGGTAAGTATCTTTCAGCCACTGTATTTAGTGGTTGTATGTGTATTTTGTCGTTGAAACCGACTAGTTCGCCGCCACCACACGTACGTCAACAGAATATTATTATCGTTCCGAATGCGGGACGAGTTCTCATTTTTATGGTTTGGATCGTTCCCAGATGACGTTTGGGATTGTTTTTTTTTTTATTATTCTTCTTATTATTATTATTGTTATACTTGCACCATCACTTAATCGCCTTATTGCGTTCGTGGAGAGATCGGCTGCGATCGAACCAAGAGAGACGTCGAAGGGAGACAATATATATATATATATATATATATTATATAACAACGAAAAAAATCGCTTGTAAAAAAAAGCACGACAAACAACAGTATAGTAGTAACAGAAACAGTAGTATATAATATATATATATATATATATTTATTTATTATATAGTAATAACGGAAAATCAGCAGTCGTGTCACATTGCCTGCATTGAGGGGATGGATAGTAGGAGAACAGCCGAGTAGCCGGCGGCGGCTGCAGAGTGGGTTGTTGATTTAATAAAGAGTGAAAAGGCACACGGTGCGTCGGGCTCGGCGATCCGTATACTTATATATATATATATATGTGTGCGTATGCGTGAGGGGGCGGTAAAAAAGAAGAGAGGAGAGAATGGCGAATATATTCGGCTATTGAAAAGAAACGAGTAGAGGTAATGTGATTTCACGGTGTGCTGTCATGTTCACACCAAATATTAGGAATTGCCAGGTAAACCCGCCGGGGTGACTGCTGTGTCAAGGGGTAGCAATGCACTCCTCGTCGCAGCAAGGGTTTGACTGCGAGCAGGGATACGGTGGCGTGAAAATTGACTTGTCAATAAATAACATGACACCCGAGAAAGAATTTAGGAATAATAATATGTAGATGAAAATATTATTTAATATTATGATGCACATTTTACGGAAATAGAGATTTAATTTGTAAGATTATTTAATTTGATAATAATTTATTTTCTTTTGGTCAGAACCTTACCAAATGCTATTTGTTTTTGTCTCTTTAAAAATGTACTGCATATACATTGAATAAAAATATGACTCATGAAATTTTGCCATAACTCAACATAGACACTTTCGATTTTGATACAACCAGATTCGATACATCGAATTAACTTAAAACGATATCGTATAAAGAGTATTATTTTACTAATATTATACGTCTTTCTCTCACGTTTATACAGTTCATGTTATTATATTGTTGTTAAATATTATGTATTGCATTGTACTCGAACCTTCCATAGTTCAATCTTCACCAAAATTTTCCAAGCATATAAAACTTTAAAAATGACTGTAGGAAGTATTACGCATAAACCGTACAGTGTGTCCATGATTTAGACGAAGTTTGTATGATCTTACACAGTGATTGGAAATCACGTTCTGGTCGATACAAGGTTTTTAATTAAAACTAAATTTCTGTATAATTATTATACTTAATCGCGAAAATATATAATGCACGAACGTTCCGCTTTATTAGTAATCTAGGCATTTTGGAAGTTGTTGGAATTTCAATAACGTTTCTCGCCAGAAGTCGAGGGGAAAAATACATTTTATAGTAATTTTTCAAAGAGTAAACACAAATAACGGGACTACGGGACCAAAGACCCTTGGTAAATCAAGCTGTTAATTTGTGGAGAAAGAGAACATAATTATTTTTCCAACTTATAGTAAGTTTATTATTACGTTGTACCTAAAAAAACATATCTATGTATAATAAATACTAATCTTGAATCAAAAACGTTTGATCCTATTGAATGTTTTTGATTTATTATTTTGTTATACAAAATGTTATATTATGGTTATTATAGGTTAGGTTTTTTCCGTACTTACGTCTATATTTCGATATAGCTTCTTCGACAAATACAGGATGCAATACCAATAAGTATTTGTTTGCTATCATGTTTTTCTGCGAGACTAAATAAATACCCAGAAGCCATATTTTATCCAGGAAAATCATTTACTTTACACAGAAACAAAATACGTTGTATTATATGTGTACTTTAATGTATACTTATCAGCTACGGAAATAATCATATTATTATTGTAATTTTAAGAACATCGTTGTCTCTTGTATATCTACAATTCTAAACAATATTTATTGAAATTTGTGACCCTTGTGTAGTAAAATAAACTAACGTAATTTTCAATGTTATGAAGGTTTATATCAATAAAATAGAAAAACTTATGTATGTTAAAGTTAAAATTGCATAAGGCTGGTTATATTGTACATAGATATTCAAATACAATCAATTTTATACTATGCGGCTGATTAGCTGAACCGCCTATTTGAGAAACTACTTAAGTCCATAAAAGGCGATTCTGAGAAAACAAGAAAAAACTGTTTTTTATACGCTACCTGCAGTGATACATAATTATCTTTCATACTGATTATTTACAGTGGTAAAATTAAATATTTTTTTGCAAATGATTACTCATGATCCGTCTATCATTAAATGATAAAACATTTCACTAAATATCTCAATTTTTGATATTTTGTGACTTACACCGATTCTCAAATAGGTGGTTCAGTTATTACTTATGAAATACACTTTTTAAGAATTCTTCACGACATATTGTTACTGGTTTTTTTTTTGGAGATTTTCTGTTTTGTATTTTGAGTAAGGATATTGATTTTCATAGGTTAAACCCATGCGAAATTGTTTGGAAATAGATATCAAGAGAAATTATCTTAAATTATGATTTTTACTTAATATGCCTGCAATATATAGAGATGATGCACTTAAGAACTGTTAGATACTGTTTGTGCAATAAACGGTAGAATTTTTATGAATTATTTAAGTAAACAAATTATTCGAATAAAGTGATATAATCTATACTTAAGCTCTATGCGTGTTTGGTAACAAAACGTTTGTTCTAGGTAGGTATAAATATTGGTAAAAAGAATGAGTAAATAATTCAAGAAACTATGGTGAGAGTGTAGAGACACGTATCGAATAATATTATTACATACTAAAGAAATAAGATAAATAAAATGTCACATTTATCGCATAGAAATGAGTTAAACAGTAACATAATTGTG